GATTCATCAGACTAAGATTTATATTGGGAGGAAAATCCATCAGACTAGGACTTTTTATCCCAGAAGGAAAGATTTTATGTACAATAGCAAGACAAATAAAGGCAAAGATTTGAGAAACTTCCCTTTGTCGGCTCTTCTCGTCTTTTCTTTTTCTTCTTTTTTTTGTTTTTTTCTTTTTTTCATTTTTTCTTTTTTTTGAATCACTTTCCTTGCACCGCTTTGTTCCTGTTTCATACAAAGAAAAATTTGTCAGTTTTGAAAAATGGTGGTCGGTTTGTGGCCTTGAGTCTTGGGCAGCTTGGCTTCTCCTCAATCAGCTTGAGTCGGCTTCAAGAGACTTTTGCTCTGCATCAATCCTAATTGTTTCACACCTAGTATCATTTGTACTTGCGGCTCAATCAGCCTTATCTCAACTGGAGATCTTTGCCTAGGTGACCCTTTCCGATACCTTGAATGACTTTCTACTTTTTGAGCAATTTGTCTATCCAAGAGAATCACCAGTTATCTTTCTTGCGCCAAGCAGGCTGACAAGAGTCTTTTGGGGGAGCCTTTGTATGAATCCTCAAAGCATGTTGACATTAACAACCGAGTGTGCTAGCCAAATTTACTTTGTGCCACTGAAAAGCTGGTAGCAGATTTTGAAATCTTTTCTTGCTTGTTTTGACATGGACTGACTCAGAGTGAAGGACACAATGCTATAAAGAAACAATATTAACAAGAGATGCCCCCTGTCGGAAGGACAGAAGGAAGAGTTTTCTTTTTTTTTTTTTAATAACTAGCTTTAATGGTCATGACATGCATTGTGGACTCAACGGTCTAATCTATCAAACTAATCCAATCTTCCCTTTTGCCATTCTTATGAGCTTTGAAGTCGGGCTTGTTCGTGCCAATTCTTTGCATCAACTTCGCGACTCACTTTCGACTAATGGTGCCCCGAGGGATTTTCACCAACAAGTCTCTCTCATTTATTTATCTCTGCTTACCGTCGTCTTACAGTGCCCGTGAGGGTTTTCACTAATAAAACTCTCTCATTTTTCTTTTCTTTTTCTTTCCCTTTTTGTGAGAAACTCGACGGTGTTCTACGTCATGTGACAACCGTTGCTCATTGCATGCTTCTCTTGGCATTCTTGAAGGCATATCGGGAGGTCTTTATTTGGAAGGATTTTGGATAGGGTTGGAAAGAAAGGACGTCATAAAGGCTCAAAATAAACTCAAAGTAAAGGGGGTTGTGGACTTACAACTCTTGGAATCAACTCTTTCAAAAGTGAAATAAAATCTTTGCCCCAGTTTCAGATGCTGGGGATTTTTAGATTTTTCTATTTTTTTTCTTTTTCCTCTAAATTCTTATTTGGTTGGACCGAACTGTGAGGCTGCCTACGTATCCTTATTTTAAAGGAATCAGGTCTAACGTAGTTCAAACATCTGACCTAAACTATTTTTCATCTTTCTTTTTGTTTCTCTTTTTTCTTTTTTCTTTTTTTTCTCTTTTTTTTTGTTTGCCCCAGCTTCTATTTTTTAGGGCATGGACCTTTGACAATTCTTTTTTTTTTTTGAACTTTCTAAGAATTGCCCCAGTTTGTACTCTTGGGACGTGGATTTTTTTTTTTTTTTTTTTTTGACTCTAAACTTGATTCCAAAAGAGGGTAGTCAAAGAAAAATAACACAGGCTCAAAAGGGGTAGCAAAGGATATAAAGTGTTTGGGTAGCAGAAAAAGGGCCTCCCAACCTCAAGAACGTCAAACATGGTATCTTTTCGCGATCACAGCATTGACGAACATGTCTGTCTTCTTGGTGTGCTGTGGTCACAAGACATTTTTTCATCCTTTAGTGACAAACTTCCTAACAAACATCAATTGATTAAACATCCTCAAGCCCGATATTCACAATGATTTGAAGGTGAATTTTACTCGACCTTAGTTCCAAAGTATTCCAACTCTTTATTCATCCTCAAAAGTATTTTTTTTAGTTATCGAATTCCAGATTAAATCAATTCCTAAGATCTGGCCAAAATTTCCGCATGCATGTCATGTCATTAGAACTGGCGAGAAAAGAACTAGGAACATAATGACACAAAAGGATAAACTATATTTTATTGAGTAAAGTATGAAAGGGTTTTACAACTAAACAAGTAACCTAAAATACGAGTTACAACCCTAAAATAACCTGAATAATGAAAATAGCAACAGAACAGACAGACAAGACTCGCACAAACATAATGGAGGGATAGAAGGGTTTGACTCAATAAAACAAATAAAATCTGGATCACAACCCTGAAATAACCTAGATAATAGAAAGACATCAAAACAAGCTACCAAGATTCCTTCCTAGTGAGGAGGGAATGACTTTTCAATTGCTAGGCTTGATATTTAGCCACAAATTTGCTCATCAGAATCAGCAGAGCCTTCTCCAATTTCAAAATCATTAACTTCAGTTAGCAAATTCCCGAGAGGATTCTCATACTCGTTGTCACCACGCATCATCCCCACAAAGTGTGCATCATCATGTGCAGGTAAAGGATTCTGCGCGATATTCTGGGTGTCACTATCTTGGATCACAATCAGGTTTTCTTGGATCATCCTTTCTATTTCTCTTTTCAAATCCCGACAGCTTTCAACATTGTGCCCCTGGGCATTGGAAGGGTATTCACACCTTGAGAAGGGTCAAAGCTTCTTGCACGTGGGTCCACATGATTTGGAGGAATAGGTGCAATTATGTCATGATGCTTTAATTTCTCAAACAAGCTTGCATAGGACTCTCCTATTGGTGTAAAATTATCTTTCAACTTTTGTCACCCTCTATACCTCTTCCCTGGATGTGGGTTATAGGGTACCTGAAAAATTTGTGGGAGCTGGTGGAGATTTTGTGATGCTCGTGCTCGCCTTCTGGGGTGTTTTGGTGGTCGGGCAACATATTGAGGTGCAGCAATAGAGTATTGAGGGTTCTGAAGTGGATAATAGTATTCAGGGGAATCATGGGAAACCTGATGAAGTTGCTCATACCTTCGAGATACTCTTCTAGGACCTCTTCTCGACCCTGATGTCATCATGATTTCTTCGTGTTTCTCATTCGTGTCACTAAAATTATCGGATTTAATTGGGACAGCCTGAGTTGTGGCTTTGAGAATTTCTTGACTTATAATTTTGCCTATCTTAAGACCATTCTCAATCATTTCTCCCATTTTGATTGCTTCCGAGAAGGATTTACCTACTGCGGACATCATGTTTTGAAAATAATCTGGCTCTTGAGCCTGAAGGAAGATAATGATTAACTCGTGCTCATCCATGGGTGGCTTAACTTTGGCTACTTGCTCTCTCCATTTAATGGCATATTCCCTGAAACTTTCAGTTGGTTTCATCTTCAAGTTTGAAAGGGAATTTGTCATGACCCAAACCCTGATCCGGTCATGATGGCTCCTCTCATGAAGACAATGCCAGCCAACCAACCCATTTTGCCTTTTCAGAATAGTTAATATTAATAAACAGTTTTAGCATAATTAAATAACCACAGACTAAACAAAAGATTTCTTTATTAAGTGCGGAATACAACCCAAACACAGCCCAAACCGGGGTGTCACAAGTCACGAGCATCTATTAGAGTATAAATACAACTACAAGGCCTGAAATATACAAAATAGGACTGATAAACAAAAGGAATAAATGCAGTGCTACGAACGCCAGCAGTCACCTCACTAAACTTCGATAACTTAGCCTCCGACCAGCTCAAAACCTGCTACCGGGTGAACAAATACATGCATCTGCACACAAGGTGCAGGAAGTAAAGTGAGTACTCCAACTCAGTGAGTAATAAAGGTAAATAATAACTGAGCAGTAAGAAGCCACGTAAAACAAACCATCATGATGTATAGAGCAGTCTAAAACCCTTTGAGTAAAAGCAGTGAAACTGTGAAATCCTTGGAAAACATCTTAGCTCAGTTTAAACCTTGTTTAAAAAATGACTTTTTCAATGGTTACGCAAATGAGTGCAAAATAAATAGTGCAGATAAACACGGAAATCCGCCCCTCGGGCACAGCACTCAATTAACAGATAATGCTAGGCAATCAGATAGATATCACATGAAGTAGCACAAACAACAGATAATGGCAGACAAATGAAATAAAGTAAACACATAGAACAGTACCAGCGCCGCTGTGGCGTGCAGCCTGATCCATATATCTCGTCGACGGTGCTCACTGGGGGTGTGCAAACTCCGGGAGGGGCCCCTTACGGCCCAAGTGCAATATCAAGCAATCTCGTGGCATCAAATCTAGGCCCTCAGCCTCATATCAATATCAGTATAACACTGCTACGGCGTGCAGCCCGATCCCATAGTATCCTCACATCTGGCCCTTGGCCATACTCAGTCCAGAAATCACATAAGCCCCTCAGCCTTTAGTAAAAACAGTAGTTCTCAGCCTCAAAACATCATTTAATATATCATTTTAGTTTCAAAACCGAGTAAAAGTGGCTGAGTTGTACAACAGTGGAAAACAATACGACTGAGTTCAAGTAGTAGGTCAAAACAGTGAGGAAATAGTGATAAAAATCCTCATAGGGTTCAAATAGTTGGCTCGAAGCCCAAATATGGCAATCAGTCCAAATAATGATGATAACAAATAAGTTTCAATCAAATACGTAGTAAAAGCGTCAATCGGGACGGACCAAGTTACAATCCCCTACAGTAAACGACCCCACGCTCATCATCAAGCTCGTGTCTCACCTCAATATAGCACTACGATGTGCGAATCCGGGGTTTCAAACCCTCAGGATATCATTTACAATCATTACTCACCTCGAACCGGCGAAATCTCTAGCTCTAGATGCTTTTGCCCCTCAAATCGGCCTCCACGTGCGTCGAATCTATCCTAAACCAGAACGAATACGTCACAATATGCCAAGGGAACGAAGCCCAAGCAAAAACAATCCGCAGGTGCGGAGATACCAGAAACAGCAATATTAGCTGCTGCAACAAGGTTCCAACCTCCGTTAGCCATCCGAAATCACCCCGAGGCCCCCGAGACCTCAACCAAAAGCACAAACATAACCCAATACCTTATTCAAACTTGTTACAATCATCAAAACACCTCGAACAACATCAAATTACTCAAAACACATCGGATTCAAGCCTAATTTTTGAAAAATCTTCCGAAATACGCTTTCGATCAAAAACCCAACCAAAACACCTCTGAATGACCTGAAATTTTGCACACACATCCCAAATGACATAACGAAACTACTGCAACTCTCAAAATTCCATTCCGACCCTCGGACCGAAATCTCACCTACCAACCGGAAATCGCCAAAATACTAACTTCGCCAATTCAAGCCAAATTCTACACCGGACCTCCAAAACCAATTCCGATCACGCTCCTAAGTCATAAATCACCCAACGAAGCTAACCAAATCATCTATACAAACAAGTCAACTCTTGGTCAAACCTTTCAAATTCAAATCTTTCAACTGAGACTATTCTTTCAAACTCATATCGATCTCCGCGAAAACCAAAACCAACAATTTACATCAGTCATAATACATTATACGGGGCAAGTCATGCCCGAGAACTGGCGATTAAAGTGAAAAAACTCAAAACAACCGGTTGGGTCGTTACATCCTCTCCTACTTAAACACACGTTCGTCCTCGAACGTACCTAGAGTTGTTCTAAAAGCCAACCCGTAGCTGAATAACTTTATCATGCATATACTCGGGGGTGATCCCATGTCACCCTATCTCATATAGGTCTGATAGCACATTGGAACTGAAATTACACAATCCAGTCTGGCCCATAAGCCATAGAATCACATTTCCACTTCTGAAACCATCAATATGATCAAAACGTCACACCTATACTCTGTATAGACCCGAACCAGCAATAATAACCCATGCCTGCAACCTCGGGAGCAATCCCATGATATACCATATAACTCAAACACTCGTAGCGATAACTTCTATTCACAACAGCTGCCCACAACAACCGAATACTGGTAGAAAACCTCTTATCAACTAAAGTCTCATTCCAACACTTTCATATACTGCCAACGATAAATGAAATACGCACTGAACTATAACCATTTCTGAGATCGACTATTCATTTAGCCACTTCTCCTTTGGCAAATACCATAGCAAATTTCCGAGCCGAACCTCGACATTATCCTCCCAACATGTTGAAATTGAATCTGTTCGTATTCATTAATGATCCCAATGATCTCCTCTAATCCAACACATCACTCTGGTGATATGACGCATCAATAGATTCCTAAGCCACAACTGGCATAATATGCGCGCCAATAAGCAACGATGCTAACATACTCAATCATGAAAATGACTCAATGAAGGAGTTGTACCTCAAGCTCACCCATACCACCACAACACAAGACTGAGGACCCATCTCACATCATAGAAATAGAACACCTGAATCTAACCCGCAAAGTCATATCTCCACCTAGCTTCGCTGCAAAAATGCTCGATTCTATCCAAACACTGTTCCACATGAAATACCTCAAGTCACTATGCTCGAAATTGACAACTGCGCACAATTTGACGCCTGGAACCAAAGCAAATCACTACACCCACAGTGAAACAAGGAACATATACCATGCAGACCCGATACGACGTAACTGATACGCCATCCACCGAGCAACACCCAATTACTTTTCCCGCTCGACTTCCACTATGAATCCCAATAGAACCGCACCATATGTGCCCATAACCAACAAATTATAACGTCTCACAACACAGAAAGGCAACTCATAGATCTCCTAGATCACTAGTAAGTTCAATAACGGTCGAATCAACCTGTCCCTCAACAATATAGCTTGGGAACAACTAAGCCGACTCAGCCAGAACACGCATCCACATTGGCCTGCCAACGAACTCCTTATCAAAGAAGCCTGAAGCTTCTCCTTCCACTACTATAACTCCTACCGGAGCCATACGATACGGTTCCCAACACCAAATCAACACCAAAATCAACAACCCTACCCGGCGACATGCCCGGCCACAAGAAACACATCCGGAGAGTCCTTCAACACCGGAATTGAATCAGTGGTAGAATCCTCTGCACTGACATCCATCACGAAGGCTCAATTAAGAAAGGAAATCCTTCCCAACCGTTTGCTGGGTCTTTGAAATATAACCCACTCTACTAGAACATAATCTGCCGCACCTCGTCACTCAACCCGTGGCATTTCTGGTATAGCCCATAGCGTAATAGTCCAGAATAACCCAACACTAAGACAACCAATCTAAACTCCAACATCACATCCAACATCTAACATACCAACAAAGAAAGATCCACTCGAGCCTCCAAATCCCGATAGTCGCTAAACATTGCCGATACACACAATCCACAACCACAACATAGCCTGAATATGAGAACTTCCGTCTCCAAATCCACACAGCCCATGAATCACCATATCCGATCCCAATTTTGCCGTCCGAATACATTCTACGCCTCAAATACCTAATCATTCCTCGATAGATACTCAAAGATTTCCCTATGCCCCCAAGCAAACTCGAATATCACCAGTAGATCTAACAAGAAAGTGTCGCAATACTACCGAAGTACCATCAACTTAATCACATTGTCTTTTCTGAAACATATACCCTCGTCAAATCACCCCAATTAGCACTACCTCTTTCTTAATCATCTGAAACTGCCCGTGCTGCCTAAGAATTCATGACTATCCGTTCAGAACTGAACCGTAACCTTCCACACGCAATTGTCAAACCTCCACAACCCACCGCATATACCATACCATCTCGGGATAACATGAAAACTTCATCTTCCTTCCGAGCCACAAACATCTACGTACTCAATTGGTCAAGAACTTTCCATTGGTCCCAATCTAGAAGAAAAATCACTATACATCCCATGCTCCGCATGCCCATAGAAAATATACATCTCCAAACCGTGGTAAAAATCATCAAGAACTCTCCGAGTTCCCTTTGCACAAATCAGACATGTCAGGATTGAATCCTTCTAACTCGATCAAGTTAATCAAGCCATCAAAACCTAAGAGCATCACTGCAAAATACCTGAAAGAACTCATTACCTCGAACACACACAAGGAATTAATCATATCCTTACCATACTGATTCGGTCTACTATCAAACTATTCTATCTATCTAAATTTCCTTCTGATTCATTTTCAACTTGATATTCTCTCTTGCTGTAGCACCACAGTTCCTCAACCCAGGCTCACCACACGAGACCCAAGCACAAGACCACACTGTCTAAGACCTATAAGTCGTTGAATACTCACTCAATTACTCCCGGAAACACCACATTCTAGAACACTTTACTCTGAGGAACTTCCTGCGAATCTAAATCTGTTACCTTTGCTTTCCTGATACTGATACATAGAATCTTATAATCAATATAGAAATATCACAAGTTTTGACCTCTTCCAATGAAAACACAGTTTCTAACCCCATATACAACTTTAAGATAACCAATTGTTACATGTAGAACCTCGAACACATTAGAACCATTCTCGAGAGTCACTCACTCTCTTCAAACAGCAATTAGCCTGATCAAACGAACAAAACCACCCGATCCTCATTAGCACTCTGACACCGCAGAATGAAATCCTCATTCCAACACATCCAAGCAACTTCTTGCTCTACGTACCGAGCATTCTTTACCAATAACAACTTAAGACATCTCGTGATTTTTCTTACTCTATGAAGCATAATATAACCTTTATCAAAATATTTCCTTTACTCGAGTTATCCTCGGTCTCAATTTCCGCAAGCCA